AGTACATTATTCTTAATTAAAGTCTAGTCAGTCAATTTATTGCATGATTTAAACCTAAATTATTGTAGTTTATAACAATCAAGATTTTGTGTTGTAGGTGATGGCTTGAGCAATTCAATAGTTTGCATGAAGCTTTCGTTAAGCATCAGGTCGAAAAATAACTCAGACAAGCAAATCTACGATATCTTTTGAGATTGTGTTAAAAGCTGCCGGATCAGATAAAGAGAACATCCCTGCGATGTTCACTCTAGTAAGGTGTTAAGCATCAGTTTCTCTAATACGCTCTCCTGAGGGTCTTCATTTGATATTTTAACGATATATGAGTTATATAATGAGAAAATAAGTTTTTATACCGACTCGCTCACACTGCCATGACTTGCGGCTGCTTTACTAGCGACGCTGAGCATGGGCATTGCCATGCATGACATACGGCAGCCGTAAGGTAGTTGCTGAGTTGAGGATGGGCCATCGAAAACGCTGTATTATGTAGCACTTGTTTGTGCAAGCTTGTTTTTCGTATTCACTCAAGCTATAACAAGCAAAAACTCATTGAACAGAGGGAACAGAGTAGAGACGTCATTTTCATTAGATTCTTGATTTTTTCAACACAATCTCGAGATATATGGTACATTCGCTTCATGGAAACAAGGAATTCTTCCGAAGCACCTATAAATTAAATTCAGAATATTTTATAAGCAACAACCTTTTCTCGCTTCAAATCACGGAAGAAGCTTGCTGACGACTCTTTTAATGAGCATATGCCACTTGCATAAGATAGTATAGTGCCGCAATGCATAAAAGCTACTGACGTTTTTGTGCATTACGAAAATGTATTCGTGATAAGATTTTTTACACGCACTACTTTTTTTTGGAGAGCGTAAATTTCACAAAAAAAGAGCAGTGAATCGGCGTAAATGTCCAAAGATTAATTCATAACACTTTAAGGCCGAAGACAAGCCATTTTATATTGGAAGATTGCAACTTCCGGTTATATACTCCATTTCGTAACGTTCCGACGCCTATTCCTTATTCTAAGAAGCACGTTCGCATCTACTAAGACTGTGTTCGGGATTTTCAAAATAAAAAAAAAAAAACACTAACTGAAGTTTGTTTTAAGAATTGTTTTTATTCTTTCGATCTTGGAACACCTGCCCAGCAACAAACGCATCTGACAGACAGTTCATTCGAACCCGGAGACTCCTAGATTGTGTGCAATCCTTAAGGTCAATGCAGACTTATTACGCATTAAATACCTGCTGCCTAAATCGAAAATGCCAGAAAAACAAGAAGTCGTTTTCGTTCTTATTTTCTAAAACACCGACGCACATAAACAACTACCGGAAGTAATGCCGCTATTCAATTTGTGTCTTCATATGAATTAGATTAGTTTCCGGGAGAAAAAATAATTAATGAAACGATAATTAATTATTATCTTCTACACCAACTTATCAGCAATGGTAAAGTTAGCAAATCAATCACGTGCGTGTAATGTGAATATGCTAAAATGCAAGCTGTTGCGACAGGATGGGCTTTACCTCATTGGGCGAACTGAATCGTTTTGTAGTCCTGCTGAAGCCTGTCATATTTGACACGAGAAAAATCACGAGCCTTGCGCGTGTTTCACGAGTTCCAACTTTTGCGCACCACTGCCCTTCCCACACGCCCTCAATATTTCTAAAATTGAGTGTTTATGTGGTTTCCCATGACACTTAGGAAGCGTATAATGAAATCTATATATTTATTTTCAATATATAAGATATTAATCAACAAATTTAATCCTTAACCGACTTATCGTGGCAATTTGCACCCGATAATATGCCGCCTTCAACTTATAACACCCAAGCTCGGACCGCATTAGTGTAGCTTTCATGGTTATATTTTTGTTAATAAATCCGTAAAGCTTTCAAAGTTTATGACAGGGTAATTATACTCGCCGAGGTTTTTATTTGTACATGATGGGTGAGAGCCAAACCAAACTGAACACAAATTGCGGCTCAAAATTCGCGTTCTTTCCGCCCGAAAACCGCCAATCGAGAACTGGCCGGTTTCAGCTTCATTTACTTTCTTTTCCGTGGTCACGTGCCGTTGTCTATGGTTTAGACACATAGACCAAAAGTGAGTAATCAAAGTCGTGGGTGAAGCACACACTCAATATTAAAAATAGAAAAAAAATGATACCCATGTTTTGTGACTTCTAAAAAGCTGCAAACAAGTTGACTGAAAAGATAAAAAAAAAAAAAAAACTAAAGTTGCTCAGAGACCCTGGTTCATTCTCTGCGTACTGGGCCTTTTCCGGAGTTTCCACGGCGCATGCGCAGCGGCAGTAGACCGGAGTTCGCCATTTTTGATGGCGTGGTGCTTCCGGCTAGGGCCTGCGGAAGCAGCTGTGGTCGCGCGTTTCGAAGTTCTCCGATATGAACCAACGCTCTTCCGTTGTCGGCTACACCGACGACAACAAGCGTACGCGGTTAAGTTTCACCAGGTTTGCATCGACTAGGCCGCACCCAACGAAGCGGAAACTGTGGATTCACGCAATCCCGCGAAAGAATGCGTAGGGCTCGAAAATGCTGCCTTCAAAGTACTCCCGCGTTTGCAGCAACTACCTCAGGGAAGATTGATGTTTTTGTATCCTTTATTTTTTTTACCGGTTTATAAATACAAGTCAGCTCCCGCGTTTGCATTTGCCACTTCAAAAATCTTTTGTGTTTTCGTTCCTTTATTTTCATATTGGTGTATAAATACAAGTCAGCAAATCGGTTAGGTATTTATTCGAATTACCAGCTGAACATAAGAGAATATAAACACACAAAGAATTATATATCCATGTTCAGCTGGTAATTCCAATAATTATGAGTAAACTTGCTGAGCTTCAACACGCAACATGGTTAGGTATATGCTGTCGTGTTGCTTACGTACCACGCAGAGAAAACGCCTCGGATTTCGCGTTTCTATGACGGTGCGTTTGAGTGACACACGTCTTTGCTTGTTAGAGTGGCGATCACGCATTGCTACGCAAAAGGCCTGTGTGCTTTTTAGTTGCTCTTAACATCGGAATTGCCCACGGTTATCAAATAATCACAAAGAATTGAGGTAAATAGGCGATGCTGCACAGCTTGGTGCTATGTACACACCCGGAAAGAAACTGAAGCAGTCGTTTCTCTCCAGGACCACATCAACTGGTCTCGTGGTTAAATAAGGAAGAGGAAACAACCGACCTCATCTGTTGTCTTTCTATTTGAATAAAAAAAATTAGCTCGCAACATTGTCTGCACTTGCGAAACTCAAAACAGACAGTTGTGACCGACTTCGTGTTTCTTTTTTCATCAGGTCTGACTGTGACACAGCTGCAGCTTGATGTGCGGTTATATAAATACCGACGCACAATCTAAAATCGCCGGCTCTGCGAAAAAATATAAAATTTTCAGCAAATATGCACTTTAGTGGTGAATTTGATCTTGTAATTTTCGAAGTGTAGCTGCCCTTCAGTAATAAACGAGACCAGCAAACTTGCCATGAGGGGTTCACGGCGTTCGCAAACAACTCTGCCATCTCCGAACACGTCCGCCGGTGACCCTGGCAAGTTTGTTGGTCTCATTTTTTGCAGGAATAGAGTTACGCCTTTAAACTTCACAAGCTGAAATCCACCATAAAAATACACGTCTGATGAAATTTTTAGATTGGTACATACAGGCGCAAAGTTTTTCCGACCAATTTAGAGTGAGTCTTGACATTTATGAGAGAACTCCTTGTCACTTAAAATTTGAAAGCAAGTTAAACGAATTTCTCGCTATTAAAAAAGTTCGTTCTAACTGTAACTTGGTCTCAAATATTTTCTAAATTTACTGCCTATACGGCATACAAAATGAAATCTAATTTAAAATAATGCTTTGTACTTTCTCATTGATCGAAAAGAGCTTCAATCGTGCCGAAGGTCGTCACGGCCGCCACACCGAAGTCTGTCGTCCATTCATTCCGTAAAATGGATGAAGTCGTTCCTAGATAACGCATTCATTGAAAATAATTGTAAGCTAGTTGATGGCGTTATATAGACCAAGAACAAACGCTGATTTTTTTTTTTTTTTTCGATCGCGTTCAGACAGTTGACTAACTTGGAGCGGGCAGAACCGGATGCAAGGCAGGCCATCGAAAACGTTTCTCCTCCTTCCCGATAGATGGCACCAAACATTTGCGGAAAAGGCCCATTCTCAACATGGCGTTGTATCGCGGGAGTCTCGGTCTGGGCAGCTCAACGAAGCGGACTAAGCGTTGAGTGTGGACGACGGACGTGGGACCTCTACTTTAGAACCGTTGTTTGAGGCACCGGCGAATCTGTCTAGTTTTACCGATCAAAACAATTTAGGATTTATTCCGTACGGCCCGACCGCCAGGCTGGTTCGCACGAAGACGTCACCGAGTCGTCGCCTCCTGTCCTGGCTGTAGACATCGCTCGTGCTAGGAACACGAATTGTCAAGTGCTTGAAAGACGCGTAAATGTCAAACACGAAAGGCTGGACTTTTGAAGGCTATTTTTGTGCGACGTAGAACGTGCGCGTTTTTTGACTGCTTGGCACGGTCGGACAAACGAAGGGGAAAGAATAGAAGAAAATTCGGTCGGGTTTAGCCAATTGACTTCCGGTAACTCTCTCTCCTCCTGTACATTTGTTTTTCCTCCCCGGTCCGGTTTCCGTTTCGATTTAAAGTAGTGATGTCTTTTTCTACTGTTTTTCTGTTTTTTTTTTTAACTTTATTAATAATACACGTAACGATGCAGCAAAATAGTGATCGGGTCGTCTTCTGGCACAATATTGAAGCGTCTGGCCAAAAATAAAACAAAGTATCTTGGAGAGTGTCAGTTACCCTTAAAAAAAATCTGTAAAAATGATATATAAAAAGTACGACACTAGCTTTTTTTCTAAAAAAATTTATGTTTGCTGTCCGAATATCGCACACAATTTAATAACGGTAAGCAATGAAACATTGAGTTGAGCTATTGATTTATTTTGCACGAATTATTCGTTTTGCGTACAAGCAACAACACGATTTCGTGAAATGATCTGCGGCGTACTGGACGTGGAGGTGTTATTTATTTTGTTTATTCCGGTACATACTTGAGTCCAGGAGAGCCTTCTGGACACTCAGAAGGGTCTCGGCATGTACCGTCGGGTAGCCGGAAGGTGTCGCCGTCACAGACACATTGTACTTCACAATAATCATCATCCTCTACGTAGCACTTGCATTCTTGGCAGGTTGGGGGTATTGGACTATAGCAAGTACTTTCATCACACGAAGTGTTCCGCTCGCCCCAATTATTGCATGCTTTGGGATGTTCACCAGGCCGACAAACCGTTGTGTCTGAAAAAAGAAAGGTATAAGTTGCATATCTTTCTTGCTCTATATAACCATAGAATAGCAAATATATGAGCGGTTATGTTAAAATATTGCTATGTTTCATCAGGGCTCCTTACTGCGGCCGCTATAAGCGAGTACCTTCAGAGGTTTTTCAGGTAATGATGTCGGATCATATTCGGAACACGCGAAGGAGGGGATAAATAAATGGAGGAATAACAACTGGGCAGAGAACAAAATAACGCATAAGCCTGACACAGTGATAATTTCGTTGTGCCTATGTACCGCACGGTCACCATCATATTTTGCTAAATGTGGTATGGCAACATGTCCGCTTTTAAATTGTTCTTAAATATTTCTTCTAGAGGCGCTTATATAGCAGAAAGTCTCATGATGCCCCGTATATTGTACCAAAAAACAACCGGGAAGGCAATGCGTGTGCCATCCATCTTCTAACGCAAGCTATATCCCATGTTTTGTGCGCTAGATTGAATGTGCAAGGACTCAAAACAGTAATGAAATAGCAATCTAGGGCATAAAGCAGTGCGGGCCTAACCTTACATGAGCTGTTGTCGTGCGCGCACTCCAACAAGCGTCTTCCTGCAACATCGTATATGAGCACGCAAACAAAGGAAGTGATTTAGAATAAGAAAATTATGCTTGTGCCTACGATGTTCAATGAAAACATTAAAATTTTTATGGTTTTATCTTACCTACACCTATTGCTGTTTTCCCAAAGATATGTATACCAACCAATATGTTTGCGTCCACCCAGCGTCCATGAGTAACATGAAAACACGTGACGGTTAAGATATTTTTAGTCTGCTCCAACATAAAACCGGCTTAAGCTCCGCATCCAGCACGCGTTCGATGCCTTCAGTCGTGCTTTGTATGCACGTGCTCACCGAATGCCGACGTCTTATCGAAAGCAAGATGCTAGTGCAGTGATCTGTATACAGACTGGGATTTAGAGTAAACAGACTACAATAAAATGTAATGGCCTTACCAGCGCTCTCCACGTAGAAAAGAACTGCAGCCAACAGGACAAGGATAAATATCTTCATACCTTAATTTCTTCGTCGTGGCGAACCTTGTGCTGATGCGATGCAGAAGATTGCAAGCGGCTTTTATACTTTGAGCAGGAATTTCTTTGGCGTGTCAACAACCTTTCTTGCAACGTCAAATATTACGAGTTCAAACAATATAAACACGCAGAATAAGGAGAAGCGAATTCAGGTGCAGCGGAAAAATTTCCGCGTTCGCATTAGACCAGTCTAATTACTTGGATGAGTGCATCATGTATGGTAAGCTGGGGCCGGAGATAATCATTATATACATGTCTTGATAATATTTTCATTCTCCCCAACACTGAGATAATTCATATAATTTGATCAACTGACATCCAGCGTTTAGTTCATGTGGTTATTTGGGGCCTTGAAAAATTAAAAAAACAAAACAAAGTGAATATCTTGACACATTTTTATTAACTCAAATATTTCTATACATAATAAAATTTCGCAAAAATTGCGGCGTTATTATATTTTACGCGTGTCAATGAACCGTCTGACAGGTGTTTTCACTGTTGTTCTGCAAATGTTTCAAGCCGCAAAGTACGAAAATAAAAATAATCTAAACGACAATCTTGCGTTAGCGTTTCTTGCGGCTTCACAAATCGGCCAATTGATATTGAGTCTCAGCAAACCAAAGCAATTTCTTTACATTCAAAAATTTGCGGCGCATTGATACGAAAATACGAACTCAGAACGAGACATTCTTGAGATGTCTTGCCGCCACTTCGTGCACTTCCTTAATTTTCGCAATTTTTTCACTCACCCCTTTACGTTAATTTATCTCGGATTTCTCATCTGAATATGTTATTTTAGAAAGAAGAAGCGCATAAATCAAATAATTTCGCGAAGTAAATGTTTTTAATGTGAATTTGATTGATTATTTAATATTATTAAGCTTAATGTGTTGGCTCAAGAATGTTGGCTGTTTTATAATAATTCGGTTCTATAGTATATTATGCAGGCAAGTACATTATGCTTAATTAATGTGTATTCAGAAAATTTATTGCATGATTCTAAGCTAAATTTTTGTCGTTTATAACAATTAAGATTTTGTGCTGCCGGTGCTCACTTAAAGAATTCATAGTTTCCATGAAGCTTTTGTTAAGCACCCAGTGTAAAAATAATTGAGATAAGCAAATGTACCATATCTCTCGAGAATGCATTAAGAGCCACCAGATGTAACAAAAAGAACGTCTCTACGATGTTCAATCCAGTAACGCGTTAAGCATGAGTTTCTCTAATACCCTCTCATGAGGACCTCCGTTTGATATTTCGAGGAAGTATTTGCGGTATAATGAGAAAATATATTTTGATCTTGACTCGCCCACACCCCCACGGCTGCGGCTGGTTTACTAGCAGCGGTGAGCAAGAGCGTTGCATTACGAAATGTGGCAACCGTGAGGTATTTGCCGGATTGAGGATGGGCATTGGAAAACGCTGTACTCTGTAGCGCTTGTTTGTGCAAGCTTTTCTGTTTATTCTCCCAAGCTACAGCTACGTGATATTCTGACGTCGTGCAAGGGGGAGGGGGGTGAAGTAAGGGAGGTTCTGTTTGAAAAAATGATCGGCACGAGTGTAAATTCACTACCATATGCATGTGTTTAATAATAACGTCCGGGCCCAGTCACTCGTGCTATGAAGTCAAATTCAGCACCATTCCAGTCATTTTGTTCTTAGCCCGAGACTGAGGCAGGAAAAGAGGAAAGTTTCGAAGTAGAAGAAAAATGAACAGTCGAGGACACGTCTCTAACACAGCTCTAACACAGCTCTGAGCTGTGTTAGAGACGTGTCCTCGACTGTTCATTTTTCTTCTACTTCGAAACTTTCCTCTTTTCCTGCCTCAGTCTCGGGCTAAGAACAAAATGGTTAACATCCACCAGCTCGCCTGCGCAATCACTACATTATCACCATTCCAGTGTTTTCCAACAGCGCCCCTCTGGAACACAAGTCTGTGTCGAAGCCAGTTGACTAGAAAGTTGACTTTACAACTAGGCTAGCGTTGATTGAGATTTATTGACTGCGTCTCATTGACGTCCAGAGTATGCGAACGTGACAAGCACATTAAGCAACCATTAGGCCTACTTACGGCCGGGCGCTATCGTGCTAAGGGTTGAAGAATCATTAAGCCGGCAAGCTACAAGGCCAATAAAAGCACGGAAAAAATTGTTTTATGCCATTCAGCTTTCTGTTCGGCAATCAGGTCCACGTAAGGGCACATCGTTATTCCTGTTTTCACTTCGTGCCATCATAAGCAAATGGCCACTTCTCTAAAATTGTAGCCTTAATGTCCGCCAGCAAATCTTAATAACCGCTTTTCCCCGCAAAGTTCCATTAAATATTGGGGGTAGGTGTCGATTAAAATTTTAACGCGATTAATCACCATCCTTTATTTGATTAATTAAACGATTAATCCGTATAGGTCATTGGACGCAGCAGCTGTAGTCAATACGACTAAGTCGTATTCATGAAAACGTGGCTATTTTTTGCTGGGAATGTGTTCACGTGCACACCTGCTTCTTTTACAGCCATTTGGTGCGGCCAGCTGTGTCGGGGTCTTGTTAGAGTCCTCTCCATCTCTCCTTACAGCCCAAGACTGCCCAAAGATGGTGAGCGAGCGTGCATTTATTCAATACTTGAGCCTGCGGATTATTGCAATAGATGTATCCCACTTTCGGGCAACGGTGAAAAAAAACAACAACAAACAAACCCGATGGCCGTATTTTTGGGCCCTTGACCATGTCCATAACAAAATGGGTGTTGATTTGAAATGTATGATACTACATGTTCATTAATTAGGCTGTGCTGTGGCCCTCTTTCCCGTGCATTCTATTTCAGCAAGAATCTAGTCTAATATTTTGGCATTGGAAGGACTCACATTTATATCCTTTTATCGTTCCCGTCAGCGTACTGCAAGGAATGGAAGCCTGGTCTGTTGAAGAGCCAAAATTTTATTTATATGTAACTCTATGTACAAAAACATTATGGGTTCTTCTATTATGGCCTTCAATGCGGTTATGTAAACAGCATATAGCTTTAGCGCACTCCATCGCGCTCAGGTCTCTAGAGCAGTGGTCTCAAACATGCGACCCGCGACTTTCTGGGATGCGGCCCACAAGCATCCCGTGGCTGGGAACCTCCTTTCCTATGCCTTGAGTGCCTCATGCGCCATAAATAATAGTTGTAAACTGTCGATTCATTTCTTCTCAAAAAAAAAAAGCTCTGCTCGGTTCACGAATTTTTACACTAATCATTTTTTTTAAGAAAAGAGAACAGTTTTGTCCTTCACCATTAAAGTAATGGTGAAAACACAGGCCAGCTGGTGTACAGCTTCCATCACAATCCCCAGATCGGCAACAATAAAAAGACGCACTATCACACATGTCTTAACAAATATATACCTACAAGAAGCAAGCTGGAAGAGGCTGTCAAGACAATACACAGAATGCCCGATCAATGTCATGTTTTCGATCAGTTTCACAATATGACTATCTGCGGGCACATCGACTGCACAGTCACCGCATATATGGTTCCCTAAGACGCTGAAACTTGAAATAGAATAGTGCAAGCTGTGAAAGTTGTTGTGAATGAACATACCAACAGTCCCCGAGCTCGCCTTCTGTTTCGCAGGAAGTGGAAGTATGCTCTATACTTCAATTTCCTGCGAAACAGAAGGCAAGCTCGGGGACGGTTGGTCTTTTCATTCACAACATTTTTCACAGTAGAAAGCACTGCAATAGCGATGTTGGTTATGCGTGGAGAAACGGTACAGAAGTTGATGCACTCTGTAAGAAAATAGTACGGTAAACCCACAGACTAATAACAGGCAGGATCGCTGCAAATGTGGATTTAGCGGTCACCATAGTAACGGGCTCACTGTCGTGACGCTCAAATAGGCTCGAGCAGGCTCGTGAGACCCTTACGCATTCAACGTGATCAGTGTGCGTAGCACCATTTTGGAACTTGGCAGTTCATGTTGGCTTCGTTTACTTATTTTACAAAATGAAAAGTTAGAAACCAGAACTTCTCTGCGTTATTGGGAGAATATACTATGGACGCCATGTGGTTGACATAAAAATGTTCACAATTTCGGGTAACTTAACAGTGCTGCGTGGGCATGCGTGGGAGCAAAAATATTGTTTATCAAACTGTGCGTGCAGCGTGTCGTAAAGAAAATAATAAAGGAGTCGCAAAGCCCAGAGCAGCTCACGAAGATAAGGTGGAATAACTTTCCTCCCGCCGGCCTCATGAAGAAGGAAGATGTCTTCATCCCCCCTTTTTCTCAGATCCGCTTGGGGGCGTGTCAGTGAAATGGAGGAAAACACACTGTTGCTATCTTTGTCCTTCCTCTTGTCATAGGGTGTGCAGTCACAACCTGTGACACGAAGAGCTCGATGCTGTCCACAGTAGACGCAGCTGGAGTGAGGACCTCGGGGCCTCTAGACAACATGTTGGCAGTGGCGAGGCACTTTCCAGGAACGTACTGCAGCGTGAACTGGTAGCGCAGCAGCCGGATGCGGAACCGCTGGGCGCGAAGAGGCTTGAGGTCGGTGGAGCCGAGCGACTGGATCAGCGACTGGTGGTCGGTTTCGACAGAAGACCTCAGATTCTTCAGAAGCCTTTTGAACCTCTGGATGGCCCACAGGACTTCCAGCGCTTCCTTCTCGATTTAGATCTACCGCTGTTCGGAAGTAGTCAGTGACCGCGACGCAAAGGCAACTGCTCGTCGCTCACCAGATGTTGCTCCCGTAGGAGGACGGTGCCCAGGCCGTACGAGCTGTTGCCTGCAGTAATTGTTGCTGGACACTCTGGGTTCTATCGAGCCACGCAGGAGCTGGATTACATCATCCTGTTTAGTGACTCAAAGGCTGAACCTTTACCAGTCCCCCTGGTCCAGATCGCGCTCTTGTTTAGGACAAGCCTGTTTGGCACTGTGGCGGGGGACAAGCTCAGGGAGAAATGTCCGATGTGGTTCAGCATTTCCAGGGGGCGCTGCA